ATATATATATATATATATATATATATATATATATATATATATATATATATAACCACTTATACAAATTTTTTTTCGAACTGTATATAAAAAAACTCATGTAATTTCAAATCAAAACTTATTTCCGTTGCCACTCTCAATAAAAATTAATAATACACAAATATAATCTAAGACCCTGCAGATTTGACAACATATAAGTTCTTAAAATATTTATGAATAATATCAGCTCAAATTGTAATTTAATTTTTTTGAATTCTTTGCATGTGAAAATAGAGTTTTAGAAAAAGAAAGCAACATTTCGTTTAAGTTGTTATTTATTTGTGAAAAATTTTAAATAAATAAAAAAAGAACTATGCGTTAGCCGAAGTTACTTTCGTTACCATTAATGTACCCAAAGGATCTTTGCTCGCTATCTAGGGTTTAATATGCACAGCAGTATTAAAAATAAAAAAAGAGATGAGAGTATATATATATATATATATATATATATATATATATATATATATATATAATAAACATAATAATGTAAAAGAAATGATTTGATAAACTGTTATATAATTTATTCAGACAATCGAAGAATTTTATTTCAGAAAAAAGCACTGTCAAGTGAATTATATTTAATTTTGTAACAATATCAATTAAATAATCTGTATTAAAACTGAAAAAAAAAACCATTCTATATCTGTTAATTTTATGTATCAAATGAATTATTTCTATTATTTTTCAGTAATTAGATCTTATTTATGTAAGTATTGAAATTTTGAAAAAAACACTTCCTACATTGATTGATATTGAAATTATTTAACCTTCTGAATATTTTTCTGGTAATACTTTCTAGTCCAGCTTTTCTTAAAAGAAATTGTATTAAAAAAGTTATTTTTTTTCTTAGTCGAAAAAAAATACTTGTATACCTTCGTCCTTAATATATTGAAATATATAGGAAAATATTATTTTCACAAATTTTTAAAAATGAGGGAATAAGGAAAACTCCATTTCCCTTAAAATATCTGAGACTTCAGGAGAATTTGATTTGAAAAAGAGTGAAATATTTGAGAAATTGAATCAAAATTTTCTTTTAAAAAACTTTTTATTGTTCATAATTTCATATACCAATCCATAAAGCTTTGCAAGTTTTCAGCTAAGGGATAAAACCTTATATATGAAAATATCACCTGATAAATAAAATGTTCCACATATTTTGATAAGATTTTGCCAATTTTATTTCATAGGCAACCTAAAATAAAAAGTTTACAGACACAAGTTATTTTTAAGTTCACAAATAAAACGTTTGTACCAATAAATAATTATATTAAAAAAAATTACTTAATATAATCATACATGTTTAAGAAATATTTTCCACCCAAACGAAAACAATGAAAAAAAAATCAATTTTTCAGAAAATGTGTTTCAAATTATATATTTTTTTTTTGTTTTTTACATATAAATACATATTTTTAATTTGCCATATGAAAACTTCAATATATCGCATTAAGAAAGCAATATGATTTCTGGGAGATAGTAAATCTAAATTTTCTAATAAAAAAAATTATAGTTTTGTCAAATTTCCCGTTTTAAAAGATGGACAATTACTTAAAAGTTTTAAGAAATAAGAAAATGTTTTTCTTTTTTTTTTAAATAAATTTCATAGTTATTGATAGTGAAATTCTATATATTAAGGGTAAAAATAGGAGTATTTAAAATTTGGATTGTTTTTGAAAGAAAATAGAGTGTAATTTAAAACAAAATCAATACATTTCTATTTATATCTGCTGGCTGCCTTCAGAGAAACTGCAAATGTTAATAATAGGTGTTTAATAATACAGTCAAATATACGAAGTTAATTTAAAAGCAGAATTAGTTTCCAGTTCACTTAGCTATTAATATTGACCGTTAATATTAGTAATTTATATCACACTGACTCATTCGTTTCTACACTGAAAAGCCCTTCGTTAAGTAAAAGAGGGGAAAAAGAATGGTCAAATGAATTAGAATACGCAATAAAATGAAACGTCATTGACTTGAAACGAATGTAATTTATGAAGCCTTAGTCGATACTGAATTCATTTAGCTGGAAAATTACGAAATGAATTATAAACGTTTGCTTCGTTATTGATCGGTTCATTTGAAATATCAGATAAAGTTTGTTCACCTTTTAGTGATTTTAAGTTCTGTTTACAACAAATGAAATAATTTTAATAAAGAAAGTACTTTCGGCTGAATTTGAAAAAAGTGCAATCGCACCCTTAGTATATGTATCCAGTAATTTATTTATCGAACAATTTTTCAGTGGGAAAAAAACCTTACAGATTTTGATTTTATGGGAAATTTAGTTTTTTTTATATTATAAATTTTTTTGGAAAAAAGAAATCAAATTCCTTTATTACTCAAATATTTTTTTGCTTAACAGATTTTTTAGTTCTTAATAAAGTAAAAAATATATCACCATTTCAGGGCTGAATGAATATATATTAATTTTGATGGAAGAAATTATGATCTCAACACTTTTTTTTAGTTAACCTAAAATTTAAATTCCAGATTGTGTAGTTAACTTATAAACTAAATATAGATTATTTAAGATAATTAACTTTTCAATGAAAATAACAATTAATTAAAAATACACTGAGTTTAATATTCATTTTGAATGAAATATTAGCGCTTTAATATAAGAAAGATTCTAAGTAACATTTATTATTTATAGTCAATAGATTTATTATGCTTTTGTTACTTAATTTCAATATATAATTTTTAATTATGCATTGGAACTCGCTACAAAGCAGTTGACGGAACAATCTTAGTAACATGTAGGCACTATTCGCAGCTTCGCACTTCGGTTAAGATTTATAATTCTCATGCAATATACACTGCTCAAAACAATTAAAGGATATTTTAAGTATGTATGAAATAACGGTATAAGCGAAATTTTTTTTGCAGAGAATGGCAGAAGAGAGTCACAAATGCAAATTTTTCTCATTTTCAAACTTCGGAGTATGCAAATTTTGAGTCTGACGTCAAAAACGACGCTTTAGCGGCAGCGAATGAAATTTTCTTTTCAACTTAACGAAAGAAAAAGCGGAAAAGAATGATCGACAATCAATAAGTGTGTTGTTTCGATGATTGCGATGTCTCAACGAAGACATTTAACCGATTTAGAAGCCTGGAGAATTGTTAGATGGTTAGAGGGGGGCCAAACACAAGCCGAAGTAGCAGAAGCTACTGGAGTTGTATAAAAAGTGATTTCTAGAATCTGGAACCGTTTCTTGGAGACTGGAAATGCAGGTCGAAGACCAGGGCAAGGTCGAAGACGTACAACAACGTCCAATGAAGATAGATGTTTAACACTAACGGCTCGGAGACACCGAAATATGAATGACAATCTTCTTCAGCAACACCTTTGCTCGGCTATTAGCACCACAACTTCGACTCAAACTGTCCGACACCGGCTCCACATTGTAGAACTGTATGCTCGCCAACGAATGGTATGCGTTACATTAAGAGCAAGGCACCATTGTGCCCGTAGGGAGTGGGCAACCGAGCATGTGAACTGGAGGATAAATGAATGGCGCAATGTTCTTTTCTCTGACGAGTCCCGTTTTTCTGTTCATCCTGATGATAAGCTTATTTTTATCTGGAGGGGAAGTGGAGCTAGAAACAATCCAGCGTGCTTGAAAGTTTCAGATTTTGCGGAGGTGGAGTGATGGTCTATGCTGGCATCTTCATTGATGGGCGCACCGATCTCTACATCATTCGAAATGGAGCTCTGACCGGTCGCGGATATAGGGATGAGATCTTAAGACCTATTGTAGTCCCATACGCTGCAGCAATTGGAGATGACTTCATCTTAATGGACGACAATTGCAGGCCACATTGTGCCAACTTAGTGGGTGATTTCCTTTTCGAGGAGGGAATCGTACGAATGGATTGGCCAGCATGTTCTCCGGACATGAACCCAATAGAACACATTTGAGACATTCAAGGTCGACGAGTTGCTGGCCGCCTATCACCCCCACAAACTCTCAAAAACTGGAAAGAGCTCTTCTGGAGGAGTGGGGTATTCTACCCCAGCTTTTCATAAATAGTCTCACTGACTCCATGCCTCAAAGGTGTTCAAAGTTGCTGGCCTTCCGGGGAAACCATTATCGCTACTAAAAACTTTTTTCTTTCAAGTAAATACTCTTTTTTATTCGTTTTTTCTCAAATGCATAAATCGTGTTTTTTTCTTTTTGTGTCCAAATGCTAAGTAAAATGCATTTTTTTTCTGTAAACATGCTTGATTTTTTTTCTTATATAGCCTGACCACGTCTGTCGATCATGTATCAATCATATAACAAATCCCCAACCACTTAATCCACCCAAAAACTCAATATTCTTTAATTGTTTTAAACAGTGTAGGTTGGAAACTAATTCTCGTTCTCATTAATTAAGAAATTTGACGTTAAGAGATCAAACTCACTTAACCAAAGTGCAGTTGGAGAACGCGGTGAATTCATATCACTAAACAATACATAAACAAAAAAAAAAGCTTTTCTGGCAAACCCATTTTTCACATAAAACATTTGAAATTTACACGCTTAATCTTTAAAAATAAAAACTACAAACTCGTAATAAAATAAGTATGAAGATAATATTTATAACTAACAAATTCCTTTTAAATAAAATAGATTTTCTTATTTACAGAAAAAAGTCATGAAACTTTTAGGTGGAATGATAAATAATTTACCAGATTTATATTTAGTAAAAACTACGAGACCTATGAGAAAAAAAAATTTCCAATTTATTTTGTTCCAAAAGATTACAAATCAATTAGAATGATTTAGAGATTCAAATAGAAGGAACAAAAATTTTCCTATGAATTCAAAAACGATTTGCTCATGCGCAATTTTTTTTCTCCATATTATAATTTACATTAATTCAGTGTATAAGGAATTACGACACGGCTTTCCGTACGAATTTGTTGCTGTGCTGATAATTGGCAAATACTGCAATTACAGTCAATAAAAGCGTACGCATGGTGTAATGGTTATCAAATCCGCTTTAAAAGCGGAAGGTACCAGGTTCGAAACCTGGTGGGAACACTCCTGAAAGAGAAATAAATTTTTAAGGAATTGATAGTAAAATGTTTTCGCAATGTGTTTCATACGTCCCAGTGTATCTACCTTTGC